GGTATAACTCCGGTCGAGCCGACCCATTCGTGCCGAAGCATGGCTCTCCCACACTTATAAAGCTATAGCTCGGCTAAAATACGCAAAGTATAAATATATATTGTGTATAGTGGCTGTACACCTCAGGAAGGTTTTTGGCTATCTATCAGTTAAATAATTTTGGGAATCCGACCAGCGTTTCTAAACATTACCTACCTTTACCTCTTTATATTATTTGTACAGATTAGTTTCACCATACCACAATGTTACGATGTAGATGAACATAAAATGATAAATATAAACCTAGTCATTAAACAAAAGAAAAAAATACTATTAATCGGGCCTTGGATACCCGAGAATTATGGAAGACTGCGACTACCCGAACACCACTGCAGAGAACCAACGATAAGATATGGAGTAATTGACGTAAAGACACCACAGTTTACAATTATTTACGTAAAGTAGTGCTACATACGTGAGCACGATAACTTCTCTATTATAACAGTCACTTGCTTGATTTTGGCAGTGATTTGTATTGTTATCAAAGCTTAAATACTTTATCGCAAACCTAGGAAAGTTATAAAAGACACTGACTAGGATTGATTTGTAAATAGTTAACGACTGCTAGTGGATCATGTTGCGTGGTGGGCTGTTGGTGGTTATAGCCACTTGCGTCGCTCTGGCGGCTGCGAGGAGCTCCGAATCTTCTGATGACATCCAGGAGTTGTTGAAAAATATCGAGTTACGATACTCTACGGATGTATTTGAAGATGCAAACTTAGATGTGGTGAGTTGTACTTACTCAATTACAGACTACTCTCGTTTGTTATACTTCTGTTCTTTTCTATCAGAGTAGATGTTGTTAGCCTCTGCAACTTCTTTGGTATCTATCAAGGTTAGTCTTTTAGCTTAGTAAATCAGGTTTTTGCCATATCACACTGACAAAAAGGGAGTAGGTAATGACTTTGTTGTGTTCACGAGCTTTGTGGCTAAGTGCTTACTATTTGGTATTTACTTGTCGCTTTGTAAATAAGATCATTTTCTAGTCAATTGTACTATTTGTAAGTACTAATACCAAGCACTAGTTAGCGTGTTTACACATTAGGACTCACTATTAGTGACAAGTACTAAGCGCTTAGCTACATACGAAACCCGTATATAAATCAGTCGCAAGATTCATGAGTCGTGATAAACACTACTCATGATAAACAATGTATAATAATAATTAATTCAAAGTATGATTTAATCAATTATTCGTATCGCCATCACTTGCCGTTCCTTCCTACAACAATATCAGTTAATAGGCGTGAACAATGGAACATTATTAAGCGATACGATAGATTTCTCGAACCATTTTATTTTAGGGTGGCAAAATACTATATACTTACATAACAATATTTAGGTAATATACACGCTTTGGAAAATAACGTAACTTGTAACGATTTCAGCCAGAATTGATCACAAAATACCGTTACCCAGTTGAGACGCACACGGTCACAACAGAAGATGGCTACATCTTGCAAATGCACCGCATCCCTCACGGACGTGACGCTAACAATGTGCCGAATCAGAAGAAACCCGTAGTCTTCATCATGCACGGTCTACTTTCTTCATCTGCTGACTTTGTCATTATGGGCCCCGGCTCTGGTTTGGGTAAGTTTTCACTTTGAGAACTTGTGGAAAAGCCTAATTTGTTTTTCCAATAGAATCTAATAATTATAATATTTCTCCAGCATACATCCTCGCCGAGGAAGGATTCGACGTGTGGATGGGCAACGCTCGCGGTAACTACTATTCTCGTAGGCATGTCAGACTGAACCCTGACGCTTTGCTGAGCACGGCGTTCTGGCAGTTCTCCTGGGATGAAATAGGCAACATTGACTTGCCCACTATGATCGACTATGCCCTTGAAGTGTCGGGACAAGAGAGGCTGCACTACATTGGTCACTCACAGGGCACTACGTCTTTCTTCGTTTTGGGTTCCATGCGCCCGGAATATAATGCTAAGATCATTTCCATGCATGCTATGGCTCCAGTAGCGTACATGGCCAACAACAGAAACTTGTTTTTGAGGGTTTTAGCTTCATATGGTAATGATATTGAAGTAAGTCAAATATTATTTGTTGTTGAATAATATTGAGCTCCTTAAAGATCTCATTTATTTAACATATCTTTCACAACGTTTCAGAGTATTGCTCGTCTGATTGGTATCGGTGAATTCATGCCAAATAGTGTTATCTTCACGTGGGCCGGCCAATCTATGTGTCGTGATGAAGTAGTGTTCCAACCAATCTGCAGTAATATCATGTTCTTGATTGGTGGATGGAATGAAGACCAACATAATTCGGTGAGTTGCAAAGAAATTACCGGAGGGAATTTGGTAGGTTTCTCATTGTCAAGAAAATTAATTTAAACAACTAATTGATAATTTCAGACTATGATGCCTGCCATCTTCGGACATACTCCGGCTGGTGCATCAGTCAGACAGTTGCACCACTATGGACAAGGTATTACTGATAGAGGCTTCCGTCGCTACGACCATGGCTCCCGATTTTCCAACTACAGAGCATATGGCTCCTTCAGGCCGCCAAACTACGATTTATCTAAAGTAACGACCCCAGTCTTCCTCCACTACTCCGACAGTGATCCATTGGCCCATGTTAACGATGTTGACAGACTTTTCAGAGAGCTTGGTAGACCGATAGGAAAGTTCCGCATTCCTCAACGCAAATTCAGCCACATTGATTTTATATACGGTATTAATGCAAAAGAATTACTTTATAATAGAATTATTAATCTCATAAAGTCAATGGATGCGAATGCCTTCGACGAACAAAATGAAAACACCGAATATCAGCACTAGATCTTTGTAACACTCGTGCTTGTTTTACGAATAAATGTTAAGTTAAACATTGTACAACAAAATACTACCTGTTGAATTAATAAATGCATATCTTTTTAAGTCTTTACTTTTATTATTTAAATAGTAGTAACTGCTTTGGGGATCACTAAAGAAAAGAGACATGAATAAAATAATGCTGAATGAAAAAAAAAAACAAGAATGAGAAAATTAGAATAGAGAAAGCTATAGAAGTGAGATCTTAGTAGGTATAGAATGAGTTTACTTACATAATACATTATTTTTTATGTCATAGGTCGGTAAGAGAGCAGACGGATTACCTGATGGTAAGCAATCGGCGTCGTCCATCGACCACCCGCAACAGTAGAGGAGTTATGAGTTTGTTGCCAATTTTTTTTTGGAACTAGAGTTTCGGAGATTTAGTGATTGGAGAAGGGGAAGCAGGATGGGGCCTCCGGGAGCCTCACTCACATGGCGAAACACAACGCTCTTGTTGTTTTACGCAGGTTTTTTGCGAGGCCGTATTATCCCTCCAGTCGAGCCGACTTATTTGTACCGAAGCATGGCTCTTCCATACATGTTGTTGTATCTAAATGTTGGTTCAGACAATTTCCACTTGGATATGTGCTTACTCACTGAGTTACTTCTGCTTAGCTATCTAGATGTTGATCTTTACTGATTGCATGTTATCCAAGCTTAATTTTTGTTTGTTTGGAAACATAAGTTATAAGACACGGGCTGAAATATTAGGTACCTTCACAAGTGACCGAGAGTGGCGACGGACATAGAATAACGACTATAAAACAATTGACAGACAACGTCATTAATCCTACATCGCGTAAGTAAAGGTTCTACGCCACTAAGGACGGAAAGAAAATCCCAACGTTCAACTGTTCCTTAGTCGAGGCCATGGTGCGGAGTGAGAGGAACTGGGACGCCGTCTCCTCCTTTTGTGAAGCAGTCATGCTCGCAAAGAGAGAGGCGGCCCGCGTGAGGGAGCAATCCTCCTCCTCACGCCCCAGCAGCCGCAACTGGCGACACTACGGGCGTCGGGGATCGAGGGACGATCTCCGGCCACCGTAAGTACGGGCCTGCGGTCGGCGAGTAAGGGCAGCTCGCCGCCCGACCAGAACCAGGCCCGAGCGTACGGCGCGTAGCGTTCCGCGCGCGCCTCAAAGAGCCATTCGACCACCACAGACGGGGCCCTAAAGGGCTGATGTTCAGCCGGGGTTGCGGGGTAAGCGCAATGAGGTACCGCGACCTCGGCACAGAGCAGGAGAAGGAACAGGGGGGTTTTTAGTCAGTAAGAGTCTGACACTCCCTCCTGCCCGGCCCTGGGCGGGAGAAGTCATTTGATGATTTTCCCCTCACAAAAAAAAAAAAAAAAAAAAAACGTTCAACTGTTGAGGAGAAGCACGCCAGGTAAGATTACCTCACCTGGTTGGAGGATTCACCTTTTCCGAGTTTTGGGAAATTTACAGTCCAATTATTCGTACTGGTCAGTCGACGTCTGGTGGACGTTAAGCCTTTGACTGCCGACAGAAAATTGTTGAGGCAAATCCTCCGCTACCGGAGGTCACCGGTGACCCCCATGGCGATTAACGTGTTAAGGACGTTGATGATCACCACAGTATCTTCTAGTCATGTCCAGTATTGGTCGATAAAATTCAATATGCGGTTTTCGGATGATATTCGAAGCAATTCACGGCTAGAAGTCGTGATTAGGTACTTTAATGTAAATCTTTGCTATTCATCATTAATCTATAAACGTTCACTTTAAACAAAGGTTTCTTCTGAATACACACATAATAAATAATTACCTGTTAAATTGCAGTCGAATACGATAAGAAATATTTTTACTTTGTTAAAAAACCAGTTACTACAGAAAACGGGAATATTTTAGATCAGCCATCTCATGAAACCGACTCTTACAAGCTTTGGTAGATTTCTTAACAATACGAGTATGTACGAACCAATTGACGTAAAGACACCACAACTGACAACTATTTACGTAGGAAACGATAACTACACATGTAATTATGATAAAATTAATTATTATAGCCATATGTGTTAGATTTTGGTCGTGATTGCCAATGCTATCAAAGCTTAGCTACTTTATCTCATACCTAAGAAAATTATAAAAGACGGATTATTCTATAATTAGTTAATGAATATTAAACGCTGCTAGTGGATCATGTTGCGTGGAGGGTTGTTGGTGGTCATAGCCACTTGCGTCGCTCTGACGGCTGCGAGGAGTTCCGCATCTTCTGATGATATCCAGGAGTTGTTGAAAAACATTGACTTACGCTACTCTACTGATGTGTTTGAAGATGCAAAGTTAGATGTGGTGAGTTATAATTACCTACGCAGCATATTTTTATGAAGCTCGATACAATAAGCGTCTTTTTGGTCTTCGGCGGAAGTTTTTCACGCTTGTTTCGATTGGAACGTGACAGCAATCTAGAGGTCCCATGTCACTGTGTTGAGACTTGGACTAAGCGTCTAGCGGAGTGACACGAGTGTTGTTGATCATTTTTCTTCACACTGTGAATCGTACTTTAACTTCTGATTGACAGTTACTTCAAAATTTGGTGGATGAACGTGTTAATAGGCCTAAGTCATACAGTTTCTTGGCATATATCACATATCCACTTGTATCGTTTACTCGAATATTTACAATTATTTAATTTTATGTCTTATTCTTGTTAAAATTACATGGATGATAGACCGAAGTAATGGTATTATCTACCGTTATATTCCCGAGTGACCTATCTACAACTACCTATCTTACTGTGTACAAAGAAAGGACTATGAAAAGACAAGAATTATACTATATTTGGAGAATCTTCTCGATAAGTTTTCAATTATTCCATTTAGTTGAGCTAAGTAGATAAACCTGAATGTTTTTTTTTACAATACTCTTGTTACAATTTTAGCCAGAGTTGATCACAAAATACCGTTACCCAGTGGAGACGCACACGGTGACAACAGAAGATGGCTACATCTTGCGAATGCACCGCATACCTCACGGACGTGACGCTAACAATGTGCCGAATCAGAAGAAACCCGTAGTCTTCATCATGCACGGTCTACTTTCTTCATCTGCTGACTTTGTCATTATGGGCCCCGGCTCTGGTTTGGGTAAGTTTTTACTTTGAGAACTTGTGGAAAAGCCTAATTTGTTTTTCAAATAGAATCTAATAATTATAATATTTCTCCAGCATACATCCTCGCCGAGGAAGGATTCGACGTGTGGATGGGTAACGCTCGCGGTAACTACTATTCTCGTAGGCACGTCAGACTGAACCCTGACGCTTTGCTGAGCACGGCGTTCTGGCAGTTCTCCTGGGATGAAATAGGCAACATTGACTTGCCCACTATGATCGACTATGCCCTTGAAGTGTCGGGACAAGAGAGGCTGCACTACATCGGTCACTCACAGGGCACTACGTCTTTCTTCGTTTTGGGTTCTATGCGCCCGGAATATAATGCTAAGGTTATTTCCATGCACGCCATGGCTCCAGTAGCGTACATGGCCAATAACAGAAACCTTCTTTTAAGGGTTTTAGCTTCATATGGTAATGACATTGAAGTAAGTTGGACATTATTTATCCATAATTACCATTTAACCGTTTGGACTTTAAATCTGACACCTCTTTTGTCTCGTTTCAGAGTATTGCTCGTCTGATTGGCATCGGCGAGTTCATGCCAAACAGTGTTATCTTCACGTGGGCCGGCCAATCTATGTGTCGCGATGAAGTAGTATTCCAGCCTCTCTGCAGTAATATTCTGTTCCTGGTTGGTGGATGGAATGAGAACCAACACAATACGGTGGGTTGAGGCAAAATCAGTTTCTATGTGTGATTATGATTTCAGTTTGTATTGTCAACGTTTCTTATGTTTAAACAATTTTCTGTTTATAGACAATGATGCCTGCTATCTTTGGTCACACGCCGGCTGGTGCATCAGTTAGACAATTCGTACACTACGGACAAGGAATCACTGATAGAGGTTTCCGTCGCTACGACCATGGATCCCGGATTTCCAACTACCGAGCATATGGCTCCTTCAGGCCGCCAAACTACGATTTATCTAAAGTAACGACCCCTGTATTCCTCCACTACTCCGACAGTGATCCATTGGCCCATGTTAACGATGTTGACAAACTGTTCAGAGAACTTGGAAGGCCGATGGGAAAGTTCCGCATTTCTCAACGCACATTTAGTCATATTGATTTTATTTACGGTATTAACGCGAGAGAATTACTATACAATAGAATGATCAACCTAATAAGAGCAATGGACGCCAATGCCTTTGATGAAGAATATTAAATAACCGAATATCAATGATCTTTGTAACACTATATAAGCTATATTCTGTTCCACAAATAAATGTTTTTTTTAATAAATTTACATCCTTCCTGTTTACAAAATCATACATTTTAAAAGTCCTCACTTTTGATATTTATGGATAGCTGATGAGATGAGACCACGACTCAGTGTACATATTTACTGATTACCCTTTTGCATTTCTTGCAAACCTTACTTGTTTAATATGTTTATTCTTATTAGCTAAAAAAGTTTGATTAGGTACGTGAGAACCTATTTAAACACCAGATAAATTCTATAATAGTCGTCACACCTTGTGAGTATAAGTTATAGGTACTCGCGAGGATGTGAACCAGCCTAACGTTGAGTTGAGACCTGACGGGTGCCATGCCATCCATCCGGGCGATCCGATCACTGGCACACGTAGAGAAGTAAAATCCTCGGTTGTTTAAGACATCTTAATGTACTTGTCGACGTCTTAATGTTGACGACTTTGTCGTTCCACAGGGAGGAAAGACTATGGGGATTTCCATGCTAAAAAATAATGTCGAAATGTATACGTAAGTATTTTAGCAAGGAAATCCTTATAGTCTTTTCAATATAAAAAACCGGCCAAGAGCGTAGGTATTGGAATACGCGCAAAAACAGCGCCAACTCTTAGGGAATTGGGTTACTAATTTTTACAAACTAGACTAGACTGTCGCGCGTGATTCCTAGTAATTCCTACCAATCGTAGCGTGATGTTTTATAGCCTAAATTCTTCTCCTCGATAAAGGTACCTACTAACAAACACAAAAAGAATTATTCAATTCGAACCAGTAGTAATGGAGATTAGCGCGTTCATACGGACATACCTACATGGCGAAACTATAAGGGTGCCTAATTGGCTATGGAATCCGAAAAATATCAAATATCTGAATTTATCGCACACTTACACTGTAAATTATGAAAGTAAATCAAATTATGGAAAAAATAAGAAAGATTTTGTTTTACACCATGGACTAGTAAGTTAAATTGTCGAACAATCGCTAGTAGAACAAATTTATAATGTGTATTTCACTGAATTACACGTAGGTAGTTTAGTAAGATTTTTAGACAGCACTGACAGATGGTAAAGTTAACCGTTGAGTTATAGTTATAAGGAAACATGACTTATACATAACATTACAATAGCCAATAGCCTTGAGCGAGCGCATTCCTTCTCCATGTGAGAAGAGGCCTTTTATGTCGTTTGGTTTAGACGATAATGAGTTAGAATTGAGTACTGAGCGCCAATTTCTTTAAGTTGCACTTTCGAAAATTCCTGCAGTTGAAAAATTCAATAATTCTTTATCCCATAGAGTACCAAAATCATCAGAAAAACGACAATGCGTCTTATGGCGGATATTCCACGCCTTCGTGCGAAAATTTTCGTACGAATTACAATTTTTGCTTTGGGCTTGATATATGAGAGTCACTAAAAAGTGGAGTATTTGCTTACCGGAGGATACAGTCCTCATGTCCCGGATAGCTCAGATAGCTGATCAGGTAGCTTATAAGCAGATGTGCTCTATTTTTGGCCGGCATCATTGTTTACTACCAGGCACACGGACTGGACGGCAAACGAACGCTTTACCTGATGTAAGCTGTTGGCGCCGCCCATGCATACACCCGCAACACCGATGACACAGATTCGCGAGTGTGTTAGCAGCCTTTTGGGAGTTAAAACTTGGGGATTTAGGGTTAAGCAGATTTAGAGATTGGAGATGGCGAAAAGTCGTGGTATGATTCCGATCGAGCAGGCCCATTCATTTCGAAGAATGCCTCTCACACACTAACTGTTTACCTACTTAGTTACTTATTGATTAAAAACAGACAATTTACAATTTTTTTTTCTTCATACTTAACAGTAACAATTATTGTAGCCATTTATTTTATTATTTAGGTTTTTTATTAATCCGTTGTTGTAATACGTAATGATTAGTGTTAGTTTATAAAAAGGTTAGTAACGAAATACTTTGTATTATTCTTATTTTGCTTTCTAGCTTTCGTGGTATGTAAAATATTAAAAAAAAACTAAACTAGCTTCCGCCCGCGGCTTCGCCCGCCTGGTATGTTCATAAAAAGTAGCCTATGTCCTATTCCGGAGGGTATCCTATGCCTGTGCCTTTTTCGAGTTTTAGCGAGACTAACGCAATTCATTTTTATATATAAGAAAACGTTTGTATATGAGTATAAATGTGGATGGATACAGAGGGAGAGGGTGACCAAAGAAAATATGGATGGATAGTGTGAGAAGTGATATGGAAGACAGATGAGTTAGCGATAGCGTGACGGGTGACAGGACAGAATGGAAGAAAAAAACATATTGTGCCGACCCCAAATAAAACTGGACAAGGGCAGGAAGATGATGATATAAGAAAAGGTGTGGAGATTTTTAGCGTTTTTTTGGTATTGTGCTTATTTATGTAATAATATAAATAAGCACAATACCGAATAAGCTTCGGCCAAGGATTCCGTCTGCAGTACCAAAGTAAACAATAGTAGTAGTATGTGTTAATCTATTATAGAGTATAGTGAAATATTTTACTTTTATCTTCGTGATAATTTTTATTCAAATCGAGTCTGTAGTTTCTACTCTGAGGCAAAAATATGGAAATGTGGTAACTAACCGGAAGATCATCAAATGACTTTTCCCGCCAATAGTGTCAGACTTTTGCTGACTAAAAAACCGTTCCTTCTCTTGCTCTAAGCCGCGGCTGTGGTGCCTCATTGCGCTTACCCCGCAACCCCGGCTACCTTAGTTGCTTAGTAGTATTTTTTGAAAATAAGATGTATTTAGCAAGAGTACACAGACCCTTAATGAACCTAAAAAACAATCACACATTCGCCTTTCGCCCGGCATTAGATAGGCTTACTCACCAAATTACAGTACCTACATTTTCTATTTCGACGATAATATTTGAGTCAATTATTGTATATTTATCAAGATTTTGATGACTACTGATTGCAATCTTATCAGAGCTTAATTTTGTTTATCGGGACACAGAAGTTATAAAACACGGATTCTAGTATTACACACTATGAGTAACCCGGTGTGTTCGCATCATGTTGCGTCTAGGACTGTTGCTGGTAGCCTCATGTGTCTCTCTGGCTGTGGCCAGACGATCGCCCAACGCTGAAACTGTTGAAAAATGGATAAAAGACGTCAACGTGCGTTATTCTGATAATGTATTCGAAGACGCTCTTCTGGATGTGGTAAGTAATACAATTTTATTATTTCTGAGCATAATTAAGTTTTCTTCAGAACAATTGATTCCTGGCATGGCCACTACGTATAGTACAAAAATATTTGGTTTGCAGCCAGATCTAATCAGAAAGTATCGCTACCCAGTCGAAGTGCACTCAGTGACGACGGAAGATGGCTACATACTGGAGATGCACCGCATCCCCCACGGTCGCGACGCTAACAATGTGCCAAATCAAAGGAAACCTGTTGTGTTCCTTATGCACGGAATGCTTGTTTCATCTGCTGACTACGTTATTTTTGGACCTGGCAGAGCTTTGGGTAAGAATCTGATACAACTAATTTTTGCATTATGAGTTTTGGTAGACAGATTCAATTACTTATAAGTATGTTTTACTATCCTGCTAGATGCATGACCTTGGTCGCGAAATGCTGCCCATGAATATGAGGCCCTAGCGTAATTTGAAACTAGTCGAGTTATTTTACCCAATAGTTACTTTTATGAGTGTCTCTCACTGATGGTTGACTGGTATACGTAAATTTTTATCGAACATAGTCCTCATGAAGTTGTGAGTTCAAGTTGAAAGTTAAAAGTACGACTACGCGGTTGAAAACTTGTTGTGCTTACAACCCTTTGTGTGATCCCCAAATGTTCGACTTTGGATGTAACGAGAATGTGAAATTGTATGTTTGTAAACGCACTCACGATTCAGGAGAGAATCCTAGTGCAGGTTGCCTCTTTCAGTTTCGTTAAAAAGAGAAAAAGGAAAGTATTTAATTTCCTCCTGAAAGTATTAAATTATGGATAAACATCTTGAACGTATATAACTGACATTTGTTATTTCTAAATGCTTAAATACCCCAAGGGAAGGAGTTTATGTAGGTTACGTTATTACCTTTAAAAGCTACTTTGGCTTTCCTTTATCCTGTGAAGTCACGCCCACCCACACATTGTCTACATTACGTTGACATTACAAAACGAGCATTATATGAAATGTTTCGTGTGCTGTAAGTTATATTCTATTTGTATTTGTAGCTTATATCCTTGCCGAAGAAGGATACGACGTGTGGATGGGCAACGCTCGCGGTAACTACTACTCTCGTAAGCACGTCAGATTGAACCCTGACGCTTTGCTGAGCACTGCGTTCTGGAAATTCTCTTGGGAAGAAATAGGCAGTAAGGACTTGCCCGCCATGATTGATTATGCGTTAGCGGTGTCTGGAGAAAAGGGGCTTCACTACATTGGTCACTCGCAGGGCACGACGTCCTTCTTCGTGTTTGGTGCCATGCGACCAGAATACAATTCCAAAATAATCTCGATGCACGCAATGGCACCCGTTGCTTATATGGCTCACAATCAGAGCCCAATTCTCAACTTTATATCGCCACATGCAAACAGAATTGAGGTAAGTTTTTCTTTTCTATGTTATTATATTTTTAATTGACTGCCCTTTTGGCGCTGTGACTGGGTAAATGGATGCCGTGCAACGCGTGGCGGGTGTGTATGTGAAATTGTAATTTTTTGTAATTCCACAACACCGAAGAAAACGATAGTACATGGTGACGATGCGAAAAAATTGCTTATTGGCTTTTATGTATTTTCAAACATGTTAATATTTTTCAGACTCTGGCATCGTTAATCGGTATTGGCGAGTTCCTGCCTAGTAACGAGTTTACTCAACAACTCGGTTCCAAATACTGTAAAGACGATGCTTTAACTCAACCTTTATGCAGTCTTGCCATCATGATAATGGGAGGATGGAACGCAGAACAGCATAATGCGGTATGTTCTTATTGACATAAAATTTAGAACAAAATTCATTTTAAATTAACATTATACATTTTTTTAAGTTGCTATCTAGTTATCATAAATTATACATATTATTTAGCAAATCTCCAACTCATATAGCAACCAGTTCTTTTAATGAAAATCACTTATAAGGGTGATATTTATATGTATGTATCTACCAAAAATATTTAATCAATAATATTCGAGTTTTTTTTAGATAAGATTAGATAATACAATTATTATTAATTTTGTTTTAGACCATGTTGCCAGTCATCATGGGACACGCACCAGCCGGTATATCTGTGAGGCAGCTGGCTCACTATGGACAAGGTATAGCAGCCGGTCACTTCCGTCGGTACGACCAAGGATCTCGATTTGCCAACTACAGAGCTTACGGGTCCTTCACTCCTCCGCGATACGACTTATCTAAAGTGACCGCTCCAGTGTTCCTCCATTACTCCGACAATGATCATCTAGCACACGTCAACGATGTTGACAGATTGTTTAGAGAACTCGCTAGACCTACCAAGATGAGAGTACCTATGGCCTCCTTTAGCCATGTTGACTTTAACTACGGCATCAACGCCAAAGAATTGGTTTACGATAGGATAATCAATCTTATTAAAGCTATTGATGGAAGTGTTTAGGAATAATCATATTGGCAAAAATTAAATAATAAATACCAAGAAAATATGAATTATTTTATGGTTATTTAGTACTTTTGCGTTACACTATCATAAAAAAAGTATCTTATAGTACCACGTATTGCTTCCTTTCGTGTGGATCGACAAACGTTGATCTTTGGCTTTCGTTTCAATATATGTACTGGTGATCTCATCACTTAGGAGAGAGAGAGATTGGAGGTATGAGAGAAAAGGATGAGAAGTTCCTCTTCTTCTAAGACGTACGTTACGATTTACATTGGGATTTGCTATATGCGTAGGAATTGTTATGCCATGTATTGTCGTTACTATGGGCCATGTGTAGCCATGAATATAGCTTGAAGGGATATTTTGCATACAAGGTATCTTTGGTGTGTTCAAGGAATACGGTGGCAGTGTTCACGTGATGTCGTGCACAACGACGCTCAGAGGAGACACGTAATTCTTTATAGAGATGTGAATTAATAGGCGTTGCACAATAAATACTGCACGGTTGGTCCATTCAAAGGACCTGGTTACCCTTACAAGGAGGATTTGGCACCCAAAAATGGAACGTTCCTTCTATACTTTCTCCTAGTCAACAAAACAAAAAGGAGTAGAGGTATCTTTTTGTTTCTAACCTATTAGTATTATTTGTTTTTGCGGAATATTCCTCGGTCTCTTTGTCTAATCCTACACGCGCTTATAATATGTTAAATAACTAAAATATAATTAATAATTAAAATAAGCTGATAAGGTATGAAAATAAACATTATATCACCTTCGTGGTAGATAATTTAATATCTTAAGAAATCTTGCATCACTGCAATCAGATGATATGATTGAAAATGTTTTTTTTTTATTTAAAAAAAATACAAAAGCACATAATACGCTCGCACTTATTTCCCCTAAGAACTGGCAGTGGCTTAAAAATTTTATGTAGGTGTATAGGTTAAAAAAATTAATATAAAACGCTGTTATAGCTAAATACATTCCGGTTTACTACCACAGTATACCATAGAGGTCAGTTTTGCAGGCGGCACCTATTGTGTAGGTTACTTTTAGACATAGAGCACATTCAATCCTTTTTCACTAAAAGCTATATAAATAGGTAGTATATACCGACTCTTTGCTCAAGTCCGGTAGTAACCTTATCAATGTCATCAATCGATAATGTCATATACTAAAATCAATCATATCGTTCGTGTAGTATTTTAGTTGCGTATTAAATTATTTGTCGTGTTTGTTTCACAATGATTATACAACAATGATTACTGATACAAAAGATTTCAATGTCGTGATATCTGGTATGCCACACAAAAAGAATGTTATACTAGCTGACGTGAACATTCCATACAAGTTCTCAATAGACCGACAGAAGAATAATTTGTTTTTCTGTATAAACGCGGACGAGTTTTCAGATCAGAGCTTTCAATCTGTGGCTTTGGATCTTGACACTGGGTTAGCTTCTATTGTGCCTGGAATTCGTAATGGGTTTGCCAGTGCTGTGGATCAAACATCTGGTGACGTTTTCCTTGGAGGCAGTGACGGCATATTCAAATACAATTACTCTACAAGCGACATCGATAAACCCGGGCTTGTGAACCGAACTGATATATTCGACATGTATTTCCACAACAACCTGTTCTTCGTAGACACAGCCAAACAGAATCTGTACGAGTACAAAGACAATACGAAGATTTTGGTCCCAGAGGTTAAGGAAAACCTAATTCAGCATTTTGTAATCGATGTTAATAGTGATTTGTATTTCGTTAATCCGACTGGGCTGTTTGTATTGGCGAAGGGGAGTAAATTGCCAGTTCTAGTCCACGGGAACGACATAAGTATTCGTGGAGCTACGACGGATGTGTTTGGAACACCGTACTTCATAGCGCACGACGGAATATATTGTGTCAACAAAATCAGTAGGGAATTATCATTAGTATTGCCGATCAATAATGGATACGGACTAGCCTTTGACAAAAGTAATAACATCATTTACAGTGACGAGCGGTCTGTTAACATATTGACTCCTTACTAAATCGTTATACTGTAATCATTAAATGACATAGTCTTAGCACATTTTATTGTTTTTAAAGTTTCAATAAATTAATGTTAATTATTTGGCAAGTGGATCCTAACTAAGCTCGGCTAAAATAGACATTTAATCGTCGGTACTGAGTCGAGACACATTAACGTGATTGTAAACGTTTTGATTTCTGACTCAGTAAGGCAGAATATTGGGGCTTAGTTAGGCACGTTTAGAATTTCAAATACGACTTACTTATAGCCGGTAGCTTTCACCAATTTAATTCATAAATTTAAATGGACCAAGCCTAATAAATGGTTAGGTAATTTTTGTATTCTAACAAAAATATGGGATTGAATAATAAAATATTCGCAAGGTTGAAATGATTTGAAAAGGGCATTACTTACGCGCATACTGTAAGTGGTAAAATGAAATGTAATTTATATTCTTGGAGAGTCCAGCAGTGAGTGCGGAGGGGAGGGGGCCACGCTCCCGCCGGAAAATGTGGAATGACACAAATGGAAATAAATGAATCTTGGTTTTAGTAATTTCGATATTAACAGTCCTTTCTTCTCTACTTAGAAACAGCGGGATTCGGTTTAATTGTTTTGTGAATATCAATATTTTAGTTAACTCCTAACTTTTATTAGGAGTATTATTAGTACCTATTTAGACCTAACTTATAAGGACTTTCTCCCCATCTTCAAATTCCCTATCCTTAAATCCCTAATAACCCACAAGAGGTCGACAACGCACTTGCCTTTGGTAATACGAGTGTCCATGGACGGCGCCGATTGATTTTCATCATTCATTCATTCATCATCAACCTGATGTCGTCCTCTGATAGACATAGGTCTTCCCAATTGCACGCCACTGAGCTTGATGTTCAGTTTGTCGATGCCAATTGCCTATCACCAGGAAATCCACCCACTCGTTTGTGGACCTATGACATAAAAACACAACTTGGGGCAAGTTCGAAGATCAACTGTAGAGTAACAACAATATTGTTTAACATTCAATACAACTATTTCTGTGTATAAAATACTAGCTACTCTCACGCCGTTTCATCCGCTGCTCGGCTCCATTTGATCGTAGCATGATGTTTTATAACCTATAGCACTCGGGAACGTTGTAGTTATCTATCAGTGAATGAATTTTAGCAATCCAACCAGCGGTTCCAACCCTGGGCGGGAGAAGTCATTTGATGATTTTCCCCTCACAAAAAAAACCACGGTTCCAAAGGTTACCCCCTACATACAAACTAACAAATTTTATCTCTTTATAATATTAGTATAGATGTAATCGTTAGTGCATCATCTTGTACCTCATGAATCACTCATTCATCACTCATTCATTCGTTTCTATTGAAAATGTGTGTGTGCGCAGTACCTGCAGTGCAGTAGCTGCAAATCTGTCGATGCTTAGCTTATGATAGCATGCTTTAATGAACTAATTGTTATCTCAATAACAATATTCGCCGTGTAAAAGAATATCTATCTGATTGCATGATTCATTTATTAACATAATATTAATCACGACTGATTAGACATTATCTACATATTAATTTACCTGCAGTATTATTATTTTGCTGTCGCTTAATTTCGAATATAAATACATACATAGTACCAAGCTTGTTTTTCCCCACAGTCTAAGACAAAAGTGTGCAAGAAGTAAGATATATGTATTTATAATTTTACAAAGAAAGTAACTTCTTGAATTAGTCAAGATAAGCAAAGTTAGCAAAACTTTTGAAATATGTTCCTAATGATTTTGTTGCATATATTTATTACTAGCGGACCGCCCCTGTTGAAACTATTGTTAATTCCTGATATTGCACTTCACTTTTCTAAAGTTTTCTTTCGTAAGAACCTTCACTCAAAAATAAAGAACATAACAAAAAAAGAATCAGGAAAATTGGTCCAGTTGTTATTGAGTTATGCGCTTACCAACACATTTTGCGATTCATTTTTATATTATAGATTTATCTTTGTCTGTAGCTGTTTACTATTCCATTTCAACATGCTGGAAGACAAGACAATTGAGAACAATATTATAATCGTATACGCTGTCAATAGAAAGGTATAGGGTAGTGGGGGGGAGGTCACGCGACTCACTCGTTAGCACCCGCAGGTGATAGATGGATCCAACCCAGTGATTGATAGTTCACTTCATTTAAATTAAAATGGCTTTATAAAAACTACAAACATTTGCGTTTCGTTTCCACTATTCTAAAGGTAAACGCGAAAGGAAAAACGTTTATCAAGGATTACGATAGTTTAAACTTTAATCTGGATAATTACGTGTTCACTTGTACCTATTTATGTATGTGATAATTGAAGTAATTGTACTAATTTGAAGAATTAGTAGGTGCGTGATTTTTGATAATTAATTGTATTAGTACCTATTCTACTATGTAATAGAGAGCGACCACGTTGTGTTTCTTATCGAAAATATTATGTAGGAGCAGCAACACTAAGAATACCTATAGAAAAAAAGTCTTTATCTGACGCTTGACTGTCCATGTATTTATTCATTTCTTTTAAAAACTTATACTTACAACTTATAAGCGTAAAGCGTTCCCTGCATAACTTTGGTAGTAGCTACTGTAGATGTATTCATTTCGAATTTCTACGTATCTAATATAAGATCGGCAGACGGAAATGCGTCGTAATACGTTAACATTAAAATCACTTTTAAATAAATATCTTTTCACTTACACAACTACGTAAGTAGGTACGTAGGTATTGCAATTTTATTTAACACCAGCCAATGTTGAAGTTGTTTATGTAGGTCGTTTCTCTAGAAAAGGTCCTGAAAGAATACTGAAAGTAAAGGTAAGTAATGTGTAATCCCAATATAATGTAAGTATTGGAGTGCCATATGTGTCCCCGAACAGTTTACACAAGGGTCGGGTTTCACTGCGAAGGTACTCAATATACAATCGCGAATAAATATTTTGTACAGCGACGCGCACTTAAAACTAAACTTAGTATCAAATACCTGATATTTTATTTCATAAACTATGTAAAGGTTAAGTCCGAGCTAAGTTTTGGCACGAATGGGACGGCTCGACCAGAGTGATACCACGGGCGCACTGAAAACCGGCGTGAAACAGCGTTGTGATGCGCCGTGTGAGTGAAGTTACCGGTTTCCCAATCCTTCCCCTCCCCTATATCTCCAAATCCCTAATCCCCAAAAGGTCGGCAATGCACTCGTAACTTCTCTCATGGGTGTCCATGGGCGGTGCTGATTGCTTACCATCAGGTAATCCATCTGCTCGTTTGCCGACCTATTACATAAAAAAAGCCAAACAAATATTTTTTTGGAATAGGCATGATAGAAATTGGATCAGAATACGGCCTCAGCACACACTATAATAGTAAATTTCGTTCCAATTTTTATGGCAAATAATATCTCCAGTATGTATGTTAGAGCAAGTTATATATATGTAGTTTTCTTTGTTCGACGTCATAAACTAGGAACATAAATCCTCACAGTAAAGTAGTATGACAAAAGCCACAGAATTTCATAAATCTTATTCAATGGGATTGTAAAGCGTTTGCTGAGAGAAGCCCACGCAGGCTCTGCATCGAGATTGAATGGGCAGAGCTTGGATTAAGGAACAAGTAGATAGGTATTTACGAAGCCAAATTACGTTAACGCCTCGTAACAATTTCACAACGTTTGCTTATTCCGTGGTAAATATAATTAAATAAACATTTTCATCTCAAACGCGGTTTTCGATGGCTTCTTTCAATGTTTTAATTTATTTATTTTCTTCATAGAATCTTAAGAATTTAGTTACATTATGTAGTGATCTGTATTCTGATGGGTGTCATGGTGGCCCAGAGGTTGAAACGCCCGCTTCTCATGCATGAGGTTCGAAACCAGGTAAGTACCAATGTGACTTTTCCAAGTTATATGAACTTTCTATGAATATTAAGACACCACTGACATACGGTGAAGGAAAACATCGTGGAGAAACCAGGACTTATGATTTCTAATTACAAGTTTGAAATCGCCAATCCGCCTTGAGTAAGCGTGGTGATTAATGCTCAAACCTTCTCCGTGTGGGAAGAGGCCTTTGATCAGAAGTGGGCACATGCTCATGATGTATGATGAGGGGATGTGCTGATCTCAATAAGACCACCTACGGCGTCTATATACGCAAATGTTAGGAACATTCGGCTTTGTTATCTTATTATTGTTCGTGTAATTACAATTTAATACAACACAAAGAGAAATAACATCTAATTATTTTATTTATCTTTGTTATCTACAAAAATTTGGTAATCTGGTTGTTTTCTTACATACTTATGTATTTTATCATTAAGGACAATAGTCAAGTTCGCAATAACAATTCGATCTACTATTATAACATCGTGATAAGTATGATAATTTTACGACAGGTCTTCGTAGGTTTAGAAATTTTAGAAAAAAGAAAAAGTGTTTTGTTTTTAAACAAATGAGAAAATGTATACCTTTACCATATGTAGCATAGTACCATACGTAGGTAGTGTTTATAAATACCTATAACTTTTGAAAGATGCATCACATTCGTTATTTGTTTTGGTTATATTCATTCTTTCAGCAAGAAAAATCGAGTAACAGCACCCGTGGGAAACCCATCCTAGCATCTACATAAAGTACGTCGGCACGACGAACATTTTCCAAAGATCCTTAATAATACAGTTAATAAAGTCTAAGCTCAATTGCAAGCTTATTTTAAATGATCTATCTTTTACTTGTAAGTAGATTTCTGAGGAAAGTTAGTCGATACGGGACTTATTGTAATTCAGAAGGCGACGCGGTCAGTGGCGAGAGTTGTGCCCAAGCCGCGCTAACAAAATAGCTGGCACGTGTCGGGTGACGTGACCATGTGCATACTGTGAGATATTCCTCCTTCATGACCTAACTAACATATTTACTCACCGTATTATCCTTCGTGCTGCTGCATATCATCATTCTCAAAACGAATCTGCCATTTTGAAAGCTTTAAAACAGAGGAAGAATAATGTTATCATGTTATCCTACTTGGTAGCTCTCACTACCTTCACTTAGGTACCTGATAAACACATACGGCCTTTTTACAAGACAAGGTTTTCTTTTTTCCAGTCTAAACAGTTTAGCTAGGTTTTGTATTTCGAATTGAAGGTAGGTGAGAATAAGATTCAAAATTCATAACCTGCCTCAATGGTTTAAACATAGACAAAACTAGACTAAATCTTTTTTTGTAGTAAGGAGGATATAGTTCAAAGAAATTAAGTTCTATATTCAAATTTATCTGACACACTGGCTATTCAGATATTGTTAGAAAAATGTCCTTGTAGACCGAATTAAATATAATTATTAAAAATTAAAAAAAATCAAGCTTGGTAGTCGGTTTGGCGACCAAACGCCTAATGAAGCAGACAAAACAAAAATATTAATTGTAATCTTGACGTTTTAAATAAAAAACCTCTTAGCATTGATTTTATTAATCAAAGGTATTAAACAACGGGGATTAACAAAAATAAAAGTATTTATTTAATAACGTTTTTGCGCTATTTAAAGTTTGCATTCGTAAACCTGCATTTTTAATTATAGCGA